ATATATATATATATATATATATATATATATATATATATATATATATATATATATATATATATATATATATATATATATATATATATATAATGTAATTGTGCATAAAAATATATATTTTCTTAAATTCATAGAATATATACATATCATTTTTGGATATATTTGGAGACTCTTGTAACTTAACTCGTATCCTTGGATTTAAAGGATTTCAAATATGGACATAGATAGACAAGTGTGCAACAAGCATTTATATTACCGACCTACATATTAGTTGATGTGGTTGGACATAATAACATATTTATTTATCTGATGGGTCTATAATCGTATGATTTAAAATGTTTAGATCTAAGTTAATGATAGTACACTCATCTATTTATTTTATATGAGCCAATACTCTACTGGCATATTTGATGTGTGATTAAACTAGAGATATTTCAATCATCAGCCTTCCAAGGATTGATGTCAACTATACACGTAGATTTAGATCCTAAAATAGTGCATACATTTCTTTAGTATGATGCACAACATGAGATCTATTTTAATAGTCAAACCTAATCTACGTGCGCCATGCACAGCATTGGCACCACCACCAGCAGAGAGGAATCTCCAGACAGCCCATGTAGGAAGTAAAATGGCAGCAATGTACGCAGGAGCTGATTCACCCTCCCTCATCATCTCCGGTCACCATGAGAGAGAGAGAGAGAGAGAGAGAGAGAGGTGTTGTTAAGATCTGGCTGCTGAAACAATCAAACAGCTCTCTGTTCCATGCGTGTTGTGAATCAAATGCAACGTTCCTCTGCACCTCTACACCTCATTGAATTCACCAAACCCACAACCACAACTGTTCCTCCATAAATGCTCCAGAATGATGAATGATGATGGACAAAGCCTCCCACCATAATCTTCCATGCTCGTTCCGAGCACGCACTGTAGATTTCTGTTTCATTTATGGCAACAGCATTTATCACATTAAAGGCTTTGCCGGGAGTCCCAACATGTCCGCACAATACAACCATGGCACTCTTGCAGCAGGTCCCCTCTTCAGATCACACACATACAGAGAAAAAGAGAGAGAGAGAGTAGGAAATCTTCATACATAGTTTTCTTCTATCTGGATTATGATCTGTAATCAGAAAACAAATCTACTGTCGGTTTTGTCAAAGGAGGGAAAGCAGTGTGCAGGAGCAGGTCAAAAAAGAAAAGAGATGAACTTGCCATCATATTCTTCCACAATCATTGAGCTGTGCATATACACTACACTCTCTTGGACAAAGAAGAAAAAACTACCGCCCATTTTGGCGGAGAGGGGCAGGTTCATGATCGATCACGAGTCTTTGAATTCATGAGGAGATTAGTACGAGGTGATTGATCGACAGAAGCCAAGTCTCTTGCGTTCTCGAGCTGTGTCCAACCGGACTCCACCATGCGACGAGCAAACGCAGCAGAAAACTAATGATGAAGAAAAGCGGACAAGTCCTATCTGCCTCCCCACGTAGAAGGGACACAAGGAGTCATGGCTCTCTCGGTATGTCAATTTCATGGGTCAGCAGTTCAAGAAATCAGTCTACCCACCACACAAGAAGATCTCATTTCCAACCTCTTCTTTATTTCAAAGTCATGATTGGAATCTCACACTGTGGAAAGTTGGATTCTTTCCGGGTTTCTGTGACTCGATTACGTCTCGAGAGACACTTGGATCGTCTCAGTTTTCCCCTCTCTCTTTCTCCGTTCGAAGCATAATACTTTAGTTCTCCAAGCCGTCAAAACATGCAATGAAACACATGATCCGAACTGCGACTGTGCTTTTAACTCTGTAATGTCAATCTATTTTGCTTGGTCATAGCAAAAGGGCAATGAAGCCACAACGGAGACTGTGGGTGATGGAAAAATGCATGCGATCTCATGACACCAGAATAACTACTCCTAGTATTGCTCTCTGCAATCTAACCTGCTTTCTTCAGGATTCTGCTCTTCCTATGCTGCAGTAGGTTGTGTTTGAACGGAGAGATGGAAAGAGAAGAAGGGCAGAGAGGTAGAGAGAAAAAGTGAGAGACAGGAGGAGTACCCAAGGACACGACATAGTTGTTGGTCCTTTCGATAGCTGTTTGAAAGACTTGCAGTGGAGCAAAAGAGGCTCTTTTTGTTTAAGCTGTCTTTTCCTAATCAAAGGGAAGCACATAAGAGAGGGTGGTGGGTTTGTATGCCTTGGAACGGGTAATGACAAACACATGATCTCGTACCGGAAGGGGGGAGAGGGGTGGAAAGTCAGAGGAAAGCTTCACATGGGGAGAGGGTTTGTGGGTGTCGTCCAGTGAGACTTCAAAGATGCGCAAGCTGTTCCCGTAGGGTTAGTCTAAACTATGGGGCGAACTCGAGAATTCCATGGAAGCTGGCATGCATGTTGTCGATTGTGTGGGGGCTTCTTGGTTGTCAGCTCCCTTCTTGAGGTCAAAAGGCCATCGAAGTCCAAGCAGATACTTCCAACTCATATTAACAACCACTGTAGCCACTCACCTACCGTATCAAATCCTGTTCCATGCAAGCAGGACAAATCTCTCTCTCTCTCTCTCTCTCTAACTCACATGATATAGAAAATGGACTTTAAGTCTGTGGAAGAAAGGCGAAGGAAAAGAAAAGAGCATCAGCAAGAATGGTGAATGCAAAAGAGAATAGAAACTCATAGCCCGGTGCAAACAGACAGGTCATCAATGTGTTTGAATGTCTCTTCCTCTACAATAAGCTTTCAAGGAAGAATGCCGAGAACTTGAGAGCTCGATCAATGTTTGCTACACTTCCTAATATCAGAGAGAGAGAGAGAGAGAGAGAGAGAGATTAACTTCTCAAAATATAAATAGGTTTCAGGGGATGAGGAGTAAACATGCATCGACGACAAGTGATAGGAAAACAACTACGATGAACGGCTGGGAGAATGTAGCAGTTTCTTAACCCAAAGGATAGAGACAACAGATGAATGAACAAAGGCATCCAATCTATGTTTCCTCCTCTCTAGCGTTCTTCTGCCCCACGGCCACCGGAGTCGTTTAGAATAGCTCCGTCTTCCGACACAGTAACCAGTTCATGCTTGTCACATCGGAACAAAAGCGAAGAGGACACCCTCCTCCACGATTCCTTCGTCTCCAATGGTTTTGTTGGCAGTGCTATTTGGCCTCTTGGAAGGACGAATCTCCGGCGAAGATGACACCGAGGATGGGCAGATTGTCCAGGAATCGCCACCGCTCGACGAGCTCTCGCAACTGAAGCAGGAACCGACCACCCCGTCAGGACTACCTGGCCAAGTGTGGCAGTGGGACAAGGACGAAGTCCAATGCTTTCGCTTGTGGCCAGTGATGCCACCGTCGTGAACCATCGATTCCATGATGAGCTGATAACACTCCTCCACCTTTTCCTGTAGATTACTTTGACATGTTAGCAGAGTATATACGACAACGAAGCAATTAATGCACAAGTAACATGCCAATAAATGAAACAGAACCAACCTTTGGAACGTCGAGGAAGGCAACGAGGTGGTGTGTCTCGTAGAAGTCGGAAGAAGCGGCGGCAGCGCCTCCACCGCCGTCAGCCGCGTGGAGCAGCGCCGCAGCGGCCCACGCGGATGCAGGATACCGGACCCATCTCCAGTCTTCAGTAAACCAATCCATGGACGAGGTCAGGTTAACCAAAAAGACAAAAAGGTTTTGAGGCGAAAGCAACGCATTTTGATGAGCACTCACCAGCTATGACGGAGAGGAGAATGGTTTCGCATCCGCCGACCAGCTCCCGGATACGGGCGGCGGTCGTGGTGGAAATGGCGTTCTTATATTTGGGATAGAGTCGAAGAAGAAGGTGGTGGACGAAAGAGAGTGGAGTGACGGGATTCATCCGCCAGCTGAGCGTGGAGAGGACCAGGAGCTCCATCCGCCGGATAGTCTTGGCCTCGAACACGTACTTATTCTCTTCCGGCTCTGGCGTCGCAGCCGCCTGCAGGTCAAGAAGCAGGGGGACACTGGTCTCTTCCACCTTCGCCGCCAAGGACAGGCAGGCCACTGCCGCCAGCCGCCCCATCCACGGCTTGTCCTTTTGGAGACGGAGCCCCCCGGCGGCGGCAGAGGGGAGGAAGCACCGGTCCAAGTAGTTTACGGCGAGCATCGCAGTGAGGACGGAGAATGCGCGGCGCGCGGCGGTGCGGGCCACCCACTCCACTGCCTCTCTCCTTGCCGACAGCAGGTACGTGTCTTCCCCGCCACAGTCAACCGGCAGCTCGGGGCGGGTCTCCTCTTCCTTGGCCGCCAAGAAGCATAGTACGTTAGCCCACTCCTCTTCCGCCACCGCCGCCAGCTCATCCAAAACCGGCGGCACCGGTCCCGTTCGCTCTTCTTCCAGCTCCAAGCTGTCTTCTTGGCAGTAGAGCGAGTCGAAAAGTGACAAAACAGCCATGGTTTGTTCCCTTTCTTCTTCGCCGAACTAAAGAGCTACTACAGAAGCAAGCAGGAAGACGAGAAGGAGAAGAAGGAATAGGAGTCGGGGATAACGCCTCCTCGCGACTCCATCGCTCGATTTTGTCTCGATTTGTTGTATGGTATATATCTCTATCTACTCCCTCCCTCTCCACTGTCCCTTTCCTGCAAGCATTGTGAAGGAAGAGGTCTCAATTGAGGAAATGGTCAGGGGTTTCGGACAGCCTTTTCTCTCGTCCTTCCATTTACTATTGCTTCGATGTCTCTTTCTTGTCTACTCTGCAGGCTGAGCAGACATTTTCTACTTCTTTTGGGACACACAACAGCATTATTATTTCCGTGGAGAAGTTTGAAACTCGCTGTGACTTGGTCTTCTTATATAGGTGAAATCTTTGGCAGTCTACCCTCACACACTCCCAAGGAATACTCGAACAGTGTAAATAAAAGCCTGTCTTCTTTCGACCTTGTGAGATACAGTGGGTGTTGGTTCGAAGGAACGAGATGCCCTCCTCCTCCATCAGCTTTGGTGCTAAACTAAGGACCACCACGGCTCAGAGTCAAGGAGCCAATGAGGCCATTTGCTAGGCTAAGAAGACAAAGCAGTTGTCATCTCCAGAAAAGAAACCTCGGGGATTCTCTTTTAAATTAGAAAGCAAAAAAAATGACATGATTCGTCAGTCATAAAAAAAGAATGCATAATTAACACAAAAATAGGTAATCCAAGGGATGGTGATAAAGGCGATGGATCTACTGAAAAACCACCATTGCAATCGGTGATGAGATGAGCATCGGAGGACCTGTTGGTGATTTCAAAATCCCCTCTAGAGCGCGGTAGCACTGCACTCTGCCAATCGCTAGAGTATAAAGATCAGGCTGCTGTGCATGGGGAAGAGTACACGGATATCATAAACCACTCCTCTCACTCTCGTTGCCCGAACGGGTTTCATCGATGCCAACACCCAGAAATCCCACACATAAAAAAGCAGCCGAACAGCAAAAGGATCTGCTTCAAAGGAAGCTATATGTTTGCCCTTTTCAGCTCAAGGAGTCATCCCATCAGTCAAAATATAAAAAAGGGGGGGCAAATTTCCAATCAATCAATGGAGAAAACGTCACGCAACAGTGTCTGAAAACTATACTAAATGCGCTTTCCTAAGCATCCGCATGCAGTGAAAGGAAGAAGAAGAAGAAGAAGAAGCAGCGAACAGTAGTCACTCATGTTTATTGTCCATGGTCCAATGCTGCTGCTGCTGCATTCCTTTGTTTGAAGACGAAGAAGACGAAAGCTGTGTGGGGAAAAGTGTGAGACGAGGGAGGCATCATTGTGGACTCAATGGCAATACCTCCTTTTCCTTGGAACATTATAAATAAATAAATAAAAGTAAATCCTATGTTGATGTGGTTGAGACTCTAACAGGATGATAGTGCGGGCGGGAGAAAACTCTTCAGGTCAAGCGCAGTTGACTATTGTGCTCCTCGTGATCTTGCTCACGATCGCCACCAATCACGGTCGCAACTACGTTCCAGATCATGGACTGTGTCACCCCTGAAACCTCAGGGGGTGGATGAGTGTGGCCCACACTTTCGTTAGCAGGATTACAAAAATGGTTTTTTTAAGTAAATGATTTTTCCTCTTTCTGGAAAATAAGAACCCTATCCTGTTCTATTCACAGAAATATAACTCAGAAAATGAAGCATAATAGAATGGCTGATGTTTTCATATACTATAAGCAAGAGTTTTAGGAAACACAACTCAAGTGTGTGCCATCAGAAATATGTAGGTTATCAGCAGCATGGCAAATAACATCATGGCAACGTTTAGAAATATCACAACATGATGGAAGGAATAAAAAGTGCTGGTTTTGCTAATCTTCACACCCTGACTTGTCATCCGATATCAGCCTAATGCTTAGCCGAAAGGTAAAATACAGCTAGTGTTTCAACAGGAAAAACAATGTGGAGGTCACAAAGGCCATCGGCTGCTGTTTCTGTAAACCTCGCTCCCTGTCGTGTGAGCCTAATGCTCCGTCGACCTCAGGTTATCCCAACTCGGTTGAACAATAGAAAGCTACCAGCATCTAGATGATTTGGCATGAACACTTTGACCTCTTCATCTTTGGAGTTCGACACATGCATGCGGTTCAGTTACTAGGAAGACTAGCATCGTCGGAGACGACCTCTTTCTTCTTAGTGTAACGCTAAAACAACAAGTTAGACCAGTGGTCAGGACACTAGAATAGTAGGAAAATTATATTTTAACTGGAAAGAAGATTTAGGATACCTGCTTTCCGAAGGTGAATGGAACATATTTGTATTTGATCATGTGAAGAATCTGTCTTTTCATTGTAACTGTGAACAGCACGAACCAGTAGAAGAGCAGAATAGGCCAAAATACAGGCACATCAAACACACTGAAGAACGTCAATACGAAAGCAATGCAAAAAGCTTTTGTAATGGAATACCTGCAACTCAAAATTGTTACCAATGCCACAAAACAAATTGCAATTTCTACACAGCAAACAAATATTCATAGAGAAAAAACAGAAATGAAGAAAGAGCAAAAGAATGAAAGATAAGGCAAACCATCTGACGCACAGCGGTCTAGCAGCGTGATCCAATTTTGCAGAAATAATCTTATATCAGATAAATACAAACAGCTAGGAATTCAAAACAAATTTACTGTGATGGCAGGTTACTGGGATTTCAGGAGCATCACAGCAAATAAAATATTATAGCTACAGATGCAGGATACCCATGTTTTCCTGCTCCTGATAAGACGTACAAACTACCAAACTGTTGGATGAGCAACTCTTCCAACCTTCAGAAGAGACACACTAGTTGGCAAGTCACAAGTCCAACCCGTAGTATGCATATGCTAGTTGTGCCACAGTGCCACCAAAGCATCCGGAGTAGGTACTATGCTATGCCAATCCCACCCATACAACTTGAGAAGATGGAAAATGTACTCATTCTCTAATGAGATACTAATGGCTGCCTTTCTTCATTTGAGAACAGTTGAATCGTGTGATCCAATGCCTTCATTTTCTCTTAGTCGTCACAATTTTGTCATCTTAAAACCTGCATTTCACATGTTCACGTATCTATTTGCAGTATAAACATAGCATCTGTGTGGTTCCTAAAGCATCCAGAACTTTGCCGCTTAGCTCAAGTAGTGCTACAAACTTATTATATTCCAATATAACCAGAACAACCCAACACCAATAACCCTCATAACCATATTCCTAAGCATGAAGAAGCAGGTTGATAAACACATTGATGGTAGGAGCAAAATCTTTAATGGAGTGAAAAAAAAATAATCCAGCAGGACATATAGTGCATGGTCTTTCCAAATTAGATAAACAACCATACGTCTAAGCTATGAAAGAAGAATAAAGAAAGCAATCACAGGCAAAAACACAGAAAATTTCAACTACAGAATTCACATATGTTATGCATTTTTCCCGTGTCATGCCAACTATCAGGATGCACATGCCTATGGTGTAACTCTTTCGCTTACAGGAACATTTTTATAGCTCATATCATGTCAACAGCAAATCCTTCTAGCTTCCCTAAACTAAGAAATGACATAATTAGTCTTGATCAAGCCAAGCTAACTTGGTTAGGTTTGACTTATGGCTGGAGCACTGATCTGGACAATTTTAGAGTTCTTGATATCCATTTGGCATTCAAGCCAAAGAAAAGATCAAATCAATGTTTTGGTTGCTTTAGGACATTTGTTATGAAACAAATCACAAGATCAAATATGCTTGACATCAGCAAGCTCATAAACAACTATTTTCACTATATAGCATCTATCAGATGACAACCAAGTATATTTCCCTTGAAAAATCACACCTGTTATGTTGAACTTACAATAGGTCATGACCGTCCACAAGACATCTCAACAAACATGTAAGAGATTAGCTTTGGGTTAGATTCTAATGTCTTGATGCTCAAGACCTGTAAGTCCAACCTGTAATACCCAAATTCAATAATCTCTTTTGCTCAATCTCATTCTCATGATTCCCTTGAAGAGACTAGACAAAATTCCTAGAAACAATGACCACTGATCAACTACTCCTTGTTCATTAACAGGACAACGAAGACAAGTGTATTCTTTTAACCAGTACTTGACGACAATTGGAGTTAGGTAGATCAGCGACCATCGTGATCACTAAAGAGTGTTTAGATTCATTGATGTTGCTAGCATCGAGGTAAAAAACGTGTTGTGCAATTTAAGATGATATATAACTCCACAGTTGAGAAATTTCTCACAGAATCTTCTTTTGTCTTCGTTAAGACAGTCCACCATCTGTCAAGATATTCATTTGCTAGCACAGTCAAGTGATACTAGGGATCAGAAGGACAATACTTTTGACCTATGGGAAGATCCACAATATCTTCACAAGCTACCCGTTGTCACCGATTAATTGTGGCATAGGGCACGTCCTTAATGAGATCTGCGGAAAGAAGGATAACATCAACATCTAAGGTTGAATTGGCCCGTTTTGCCCAAAACATCCTACCATGAGCCTTATCTTTAATCCTTGCGTAGTCTATCCACCATATACATGGTTCAGAAGTATCTTCACATCCACAGCAAAGTTAGATAAAAAGCCCTTTTTTTTTCTTTTTGAATTGATACAGTCGGTCAAAGCAAGAAATAACGTCAATAAAATCATACCCTTCTATTTTCACATAAAAATTCCAGCGTTATTAATCGAGATAAAAATGCGAGCTCAAAATGTGATTAGAAACAAGGGGAAAAAGAGATCGAATGGGGGAACCGCACTGACCAGAACTTGAATTCGGGGAGGCGCCGGACGAAGGGGCGGAACTCATCGGATGAGCGGGTGGGCAGGGAAGGGCCGGGGCCACCATCGACGACCTCGTGGATCTCGGGGTCGACCTGGGGGGAGAGGAAGGCGATGAAGAGGTTGAGGAGGTAGATGCCGAGAGCGTATGAGACGATGTAGAAGCCCTGAGCGATCCAGACACGGACGGTGTAGACGAGGGCCAGGACGCCCAACCAGGCCCAGCGCCGGCGCACGTGCGGCGTGGCCTTGTCGAGCAGGTGCTGGTGCCGCCGGGATGCGGCGGCGACCCACGCCGACAGAAACGACGACCCTCCTCCTTCGCCCCCTCCACCGCCGCTCGATGGATCCATCATCGTCGCCGACCGATCGTCTCGCTCGCTCGCTCGGTCGTTCCAAAGTCCTTTTTCTTCTTTTCCTTTTTTTTTATCAACCCCTTCGTTTGGTCGTATGAATTAAATATGTTTGTATATATCTTTCCTTCAAAAAAATCTTAGTAATAGTATATTTACACCTATAAATCTAAATACAAGTATACACTCTGCATTAACCTACATCAAAGCCCCCTTTACTCTTCAGTCTTTTACTATTGGTAATCACTTAAAATAATAATAATAAAATATAATTAATTTTACTAAGGAAAATCTTTTAATTACTTAACATACCCTATTTCACACACATCTTTCATCTATGGATCAACTATACTCATGATCGTCGAAATCGAAACCCTAGCTACACTCATATCATTTTATTATCATTTTATTGTTCCACGTCACTTAGATGTCGTAATTCATCTCGTAAGTCATTCATCGCTCAACGAAAAATAATATGCTGCTCGACAATAAGGACAAAGATAACGTTCATCGCTCGAGAAAAAGTAAAAAAAAATGTAAAAAGAGGTTATAAGAGTTGATCGAAATTCAATAACGAGGGTATTCACATCAATTAGCATAGGGGTATTTTCGAGATATAAAAAATATAAAATGAGATTATAAATAGTAAAAATGATTGTTAATAGAAATCTCCTAAAAAATATGAAAATATGAAAGAAAAAAAAGTAATTTATTTATTTATTTATGATCATAAGAGTCTTAAAATCAATTAAAGGTTTTATTATATCTACTTGCCATTGGCAGTAAATTAATTATGAAAATATTTTTTTTTTAAAAAAATTACTTTAGAGCTAAATTTTGAGGTAATTGAGATAAAAACGAGGGTTATAATAGGGATTAGAATAACTATTATTTTAAGTAACTAATGGTACAAGTTACTAAGTCATTCATCTCCCATTGCCTTCATTATTGTCAAGTTCTCCTCTTTCTCCTCTCGGATCATCAATCTCAGGAAAAGGGAAAGAGGTTTAGGGGAAGGAGACAAACCATGGTAAAAGCTTTCCTTCCCTCCTCACTTTCATGGTCCATCATCCTATCCTCCGTCGATCGTGACCCTTATGGTTGATGCTCTCGTCCATTGCCTTTCCTCCTGGTATTCAAGATCATCGTACCATCTTCACCCTTATCAACCTCTTTCCTCTCTCTCGAGGGCGATGATTATGATAAAGTTGAGGATCTAGGTGTTATGTGTGTAATTGATAAATGATATTTTTCACCGATATAAGAGGGGGCCCTATATTGGAAAATTAGAAATACGAGCACCTTCCAAGAAAATCATAAAAGATTTTTTTTTTAAATCACCCTATATATAACTCATATTTGTATCTTTATATGCATAAAATATAATGTTGTTGATGATTAACATAAGATAAGAGTATAGTTTTCATGCATTCTTAAGGTAGTAGAGTATAATTTTCATGTATTCTTAAGGTAGTAAATGAATATATTATCCTCCCTTGCTGGGAGTGAAGCATCCCTAACTCATAAAACCCATAACAAGTCTAGACAAAGAGATACTCCTTATTTTCTTAAATCAGAGTATATTTCTGACCATCCTTTGGCACTTGATGTTATCATATTAGAGCTGACTGATTCCAAATCATATTATACTAAATCCTGCATTGTAATATTCAATTCAGTCCCACATCAACATGAACATTTTTTGAAGTATTGTGATCCAAATTTATCTAGATAAACTAATATGTTAATTCAAATGTAAAATATTGATGAAACAAATGAAATTTACAAAAAGGAAAAAAAAGATGAAGCATCTCTCATTTTTATTTTGCCACCACTTTCTTCTAACTCTTGGATCATGTTGTTCTTTATCTGTCTTCAACTCTCCTCCCATAATTGTGTTGGGTCCAGTCCATATGTGGGCTTGGATAAATTGGGCCTATTGAGCCCAAATCACTAATTAAGGTGAAGTAAGACAAATTAGGGCATGCAGAAAAAATGCAGAGCAGGGTGCAGCGTGCAGCGTACGTGCACAGTGAACAACGACGACGTGCAGAGAGAAAAGAGGAGAGAGAAATAGAGAGAGAAAGTAAGATTTCTGAGTTTTCTGCTTGACGATCGGTGGCCAAACGTTGTCAGTTTCGGCCCAAATTTTATGTGGAGAATCCTTGCAGCAAACTCTACAATCCTAACGGTGTTGATCTGCGGTTTACCCTCTCTAAGGTACTTTCCTGCGATATCCACTCTGTGAGACCTAGAATTCTCTTTGGAGGAGATTCACCTATGTGATGAAGATATGGTATTCTTGAGCCAAGATCTATGTTCTTGATGTTATTCTGATCCTCTAGTTATTCTAGAGAAGACCTACTGTAAACCTGTTATCATCATTATTGATAGTGGAAGTTTGAGGTGGACTACGGTCCCGTGGTTTTTCCCACATTGGGTTTTCCACGTTAAAAATATTTGGTCTCACTGTGTGATTGATTTATTGCTTTATTGTTTATGCTGTGCTGATTGATATTTTCATTTGGTATATTCAAG